ACTGAAGCTAATTAGGCAGATGAAAGGAAAAAATTTGATATTATCAAAAAAGGGAAAGTTCTTGAATGCAATTCGGCTTCTCAAAATTTTTCATTAAAATTATTTTATGGAATGAAATGTTTACTTTAAATAGCTGCAGCATAGATGCCACCATAACAGAAACTTGACTACTGGCAGCACCAATGACAGCCGCAACTGGATGATGTTGATAGATGGGTTTGGAACCATCGGAACAGTAAATCTCTTCCGCTTGCGACATTATCGTTTTGATGAATACCAATGTTTGTTCTAATGCATACGAATCAACTGAGCTTAAGTAAATAACTTCATAAGCATGCTTTCCTTGGCATTTTCAATCATAATTTGCAACCTAATGTAATGAGATAATGGACATTGCTATCAGTTGCCGCATTTTCAATTGTCAAAGTGATTACACTTTTGATCAGTCGTTCCCAAGAAATATCCAATTGCTTTAACATTATCCGATCACAGATTCATTTTACTTTTTGCATAAATTATGGAAATAATATTCAATAACGAAAGCAATCATGCCTCCCTGACACTTTTACTGCTGATCACATCGATCTCCAAATCTCACTAATTTAAGCATTTTGAATTTTGAAAAAAAAAAGTCTCTGATATGCTCTATTCCTTTATGTTTAATTACAACAAATTCTGGAAGCGATATTTTCCATTTTCTTTACTTTTCCATCAAGCTTAAAATATTTACTTTGACACTATCCCTCAAGGGAGTAGTTTGAATAGATAACGATACGAAACATGGAATGGTTTAGAAATTGGTCCACTTCCTGATCTAGAACTTAAACTTTCTAAGAGAAAGTAAGTTTGTAACATTGCATATATATATATATATATATCTCTGGTTTCTTTTTTCAGTATCTCATTAGAACAATAATTTCAAAAAAAAAAACAAAAAAAGTTTTTATAGAGGAGTTCAAAAGTTCCAGTTAAAATACACAAAATAGCCTCCCAAGCGGGAAATGATGGCAGTTTCTTTTTTTAATGCTACTATACAATATTATCACAATTTTGATTTCCTTTCCTTAATATTTTGTAACAGTTTCCTGTTCCAATTCGGCTTTCAAAACTTTTTCCTTTTCAACCAATCATTTAGCGTCACTTTTTAGTAATCATTTTATTGAAATGAAGCATGTTTTATTGTAATGTAATGCAAGGAAATTGAATATTTGTGAAAAGTTATACAAATGACATTCAAGAATAATATGTCGTGGCTTGATCCACTTATCGATTCAATTTAAAACTTAAAAAGTCTTTGATTAATTTTTATATTGGCAATCTTATGAATGGTAGCATGAAAAAAGAGCGATTATTAATGAAAAGTAGGATGCATCTAATGTTTTCCTATGTTTTAACCTAATTTAACAACTGCATTATTAGTAATACGGTTAATATTATTTTATAGTATGGACTGATGTGAATGTGACACCAAATGTTAATAAAGAAAAAGTGAAGGGAAAAACAAAAGATAATAAGAGAAAGCAAATAAAAACGAAGTGTAAATGGTAAAAATTTCATTATAACCTCATTTAATGTCGTTTTCGTGAGAGATTAATTTTGCGCAGATTTCATTAAATTTGAACTTCGACGCCTTCCATTATATCTTTTCAACAATCATCGACTTCACCGCTATTCCCTGGTAAAATAGCAATTATCTTGATTATTCTCGTCTATTTCGTACCATAGATATTGATTATTTTTCATGTGATTTTATTTCACTCATTGAACACGTCAAGAAATTCAAACCTCTTGTGAATTCCGAATAATTTGAGCAAATTTTCAGTGAAGATCTTGGCTGTAGGAAGAGTAGTACCAAACTATTCGACGTCAGTGGTTGCTTTAAAAAAAAGATTATTGACTATTTCGAAACGATCTTTGCTCTCTTTGCGACAATACCTTCTTGGGACATATAACGATAGCCATTGAACGTGACGTTTAATACAACAACATTAACGATAGCAGCAGAAAGAACGACGACATTACATACGAAAATTCATATGTTAACTCAATTATTCATCTATTTACATCTCATTTTTATCATTCTATTAGCTGAAAAATCATTGGTCCTCTTTGGTCGTCAAGTATTTCTAAAAGGTGATATAATACTTGGAGGTCTATTCCCTGTTCATGAAGCAGGCCTCAATGGTTCTGAGTGTGGAGTTCTGAAAGCAGCTCAAGGTGTACAACGTCTCCAAGCAATGCTCTATGCACTAGATTTAGTTAATAACGATGAGACAATTTTACCGGGCATTTCGCTCGGTGCACAAATTCTTGATACATGGTAAATTTCAGTTTTCATGATGTAGATCTTTATTTATCCAATAACTCACTTTGGTATGATCATTTCTGATAGTTTAGGGATCAGGAACATTGAGTTATCTTGTAGCAAGATGAATAAGAAGTTAAATGAAAAGTATTTTGATATTGAAAAGAGATGTGGTGATAACATCACATATATACCCCTGTCAAATTTCTCACTAGTTTCTTTTTCCTTTTTCTTTGTCGAAATCTAACTTTCTTCGAAAATTCCGATTTCCCGTGATACTTTCTTCACATAAATGACAAATGAAATAGTCTAAACTTTTTTAGAAAAAAAACGCTTGACATAAGCGCAATTTCCTAGCCAGCGCTGATCATTATTTCATTACATTAGGCTGCAAATTATGATTGAAAATGCCAAGGAAAGCATGCTTATGAAGTTATTTACTTAAGCTCAGTTGATTCGTATGCATTAGAACAAACATTGGTATTCATCAAAACGATAATGTCGCAAGCGGAAGAGATTTACTGTTCCGATGGTTCCAAACCCATCTATCAACATCATCCAGTTGCGGCTGTCATTGGTGCTGCCAGTAGTCAAGTTTCTGTTATGGTGGCATCTATGCTGCAGCTATTTAAAGTAAACATTTCATTCCATAAAATAATTTTAATGAAAAATTTTGAGAAGCCGAATTGCATTCAAGAACTTTCCCTTTTTTGATAATATCAAATTTTTTCCTTTCATCTGCCTAATTAGCTTCAGTTGTAGG